TTTTAAAAAAAAAAAAAAAAAAAAAAACGAACCAGAAAACAAACAAGCTACAAAGCATGAATTCAGCAGAGCTTTTGCTTTTGACTCAGCTCAAAATTTTTAGGCTTGAGGTCTAGGCATGATTGCCTTCGGGAACTTTAATTTTCAGTTCATAAAGAGACAGAAAGCACAGATGGGGTCAAAGTGAAAGACCTATCTTTTAGAACAAGCACAATTAAAAAGGAACGGCCACATGTGGTTCTGGCTGCAGTGTAGCATGTTTTTGCCAGCATTTCTGGTTAAACACAAACTTGATCCAGCTCCCCTGACTCAAATTAAGTTTGCATACCTTTTGTTAAGATCCAGGATAATAGAAAATGGTCTGAAACACACTTATTTTAACCCAAGAGATCTAAATTAAATTTTGAAAAGATTTTACAACATCATCTATACATGGTAGGTTTCAAAACCTTTAAAAAAAACAACCCCCAGCAACACTAAAAACTGTTTTTTCTTTAATCTGGAATGAAGAGAAATCAGTTCTGAAACCAGGATGTAAAAATAACAAAAATAAGAGTAGGTTGAATTAAATGAGTTCACAATATTGGTGTGCATCACCTTGTGCTCACAATGGTTGAATACGGAAGCTCAGGAAGTCTGTTTTATACTTCTGGATTAGAGATGGAAGAATCTAAATTATTATAGAAAAATAAGGCTGGAAGGGACCCCAGGAGGTCATTTAGGTTAACCTCATTAAAAACTGAGCCTAAATATTAGGGCTAAGCTACATAGTGCTGGAGGTTCATATTATGGTTCTTAGTACACCAGGCTACCTTCCAAGTTAATCTAGTTGCCTAGGGCCTGATCTGAAATCCATGCAAGTCAATGGCTAAATGTGTTCAGTGTTTCAAATCAAACTTCTAGTATTGTATGGTATTTTCTAGTTCCTGATATGGTAGGTAGATCCATGGATGACTGGTGCCTCCTGAATCTGGGGGTGGGGGGGCACCCGCACAAGCCATCGCCGGCAGCAGCCCTGTCAGGGGGGGCACCAGCCCTACCGACAGCATAATGTTGGCCATCGGGGGGTTACTGGCCCCATCGGGGGGGTATGTGCACGCTCGTGCACCTCTACCAGTCACCTATGGCTAGATCCTTAGATCATCAGTGCACACTGTTCTTCTTTGGTTCCTGCTAACAGAAATGCTGTTGCTGGTCACATTCCTCTTCTCCCTCCTGACAGCTGCCATCTTTGGGAGGCAGTCGGCTCTGCTAGAAGGAGTACTTATCCAAGACTCAGGAGATCTGGGTTCCCGGGTCTGCTGTGGCCTACCAATTGCCACCCGCCCCCCCACAAGTTACTTCTGTTCTCTGTGTCTCAGTTTCTTCATCTCTAAAACAGAGAAAATGATCTTTTGTTCTTTTGGGGGGCTTTGCAAACTGCAGATGAAAAGTGCAATGTTAGGAAGTTAAGTATTAGTATCATCATCCTGCTAATGACTCCACTGCCCCTTATATCAGAAAACATCATACAACACTAAGTAGTGAAATCTACTTTCTGGCTTGTGCACCAACTCTAAAAGTATACAGATTCTGCCTCAAAAGTTTGGGGTTATATTATAGACTTGAAAAAGGTTTGGTAAAGCATTCTTCATTGTTTTCCCCATGTTCTCTCATATCGCATTCTGGCTCCATCTGATGCTGGTTCCTGGTGGATAGAGCCTATTCAAGTTCCTTAGCTATTGCAACACATAAAAACTACTGTATTCTGTTTCTGGGTTGAAAGTTGGCCAACATTTGGATTTTGACTAACAAATCCCCCCCCGCCCAAACAAAAACAAAAAACCAACTTGAGGATATCTTCATACAACCAGAGATACCAGGAATGAGGAAAACCAAGAGGTTGATTAGCTCAATTTTCCCTTCACTTTTTTCCTTAAAAGAAGAGTGCCAAACAAACAAAACTGAAACTAAACCAAAAAACAAAAACAAAAACCACACCAAAGGGTTTGTTATTTCCATATGCATGTTTATAATACTACTTTATACGGTATCCAAAAGGCCCTAGACTAGCCTGAATAGCTACAATTCTTTTAAAATAATTTTCACATAAGAATGAATGAATAAAGATAGTCTAAGGGTCTCGTTACATGGTAATTTTGAGTGGCTCCTGAAGATCATAACCCCTGGACTGGGGACCTCAAATGGTGTTAAGCACTCGTTATGCAGCTCAAAGTTATGTCACTCCAGGGCAGGCTTATTTCTGATCTGTACTACTGAGCTTCTGTTCTATTAAGGTGTAGCCACTCCCCACAGATGTGCCACCCAAATTGAAATCATCCAGTCTCCCAGCCTCTGGCTGCTCTGACTTGGTTCAATGTGCTGCAGTCCCAGGCAAAGGTATAAATGCAGTGCCTGGGAGCAATAGACTCCAGCACAATAAGCACTGGAGTAAATTGTGTCACATTAATATGCATATGTATATGCACCCACTAATGACTATAGGAGACAAACAAAAATGCTGCCCTCTATATTTGGAAGGCAGGCTTCACTGCTGTGCAGCTACCTCACAGCAAAAGCTCCTATCACTCATACCTAGGCTAGGTTACTGGTGGGGAGGAGTAAAACAGAACTTAAGGGGGAAAACTTAAGTAGTCTAAAAGGCAGCATCAGGGTTTCCAACCCAAGAATTTTTTTGGTTTTGTTTTTTGTTACTGACAATCTGTAAACTTTATAGACAGAAATGTTTTTACTGCAATTAAAAAAAAAATCCTTGGGTTGGCAACCCTGCATGACTTCAGCAATGTTTTTACATCCTGCTGTACCCACCACAGGGGTCTCCTACTCACCTTACATCCTGATGCCCCTGACTGGACCCTGCACTATGCTGTTGCCTCCTCCCCGCCCAACGCCCAGCCTTGTGCAGAGAGAGGAATTATGCTGACCGCTGGAGAGCAGAGTGGGTGGGGATCAACGGCAAGGGTTGTACTGATGAGGGCAGCGCACCAAGACATCTCAGTAACTGCCATAACTCCTTTGTGCAGGTGTTTGGAGAAGCCACAGACCTCACTGGAGGCCACTTAGCTTCTATTACATAATTGCTGCTGCTGCTGTTGCAGGGCTAAGCTAAGAAGAGGAGAGGCCCATCCTTCAAAACGGTTATTTAAAAAGTTCCCCCCCCTCAGAGTGAGAGAGGAACATGGTCCAAGTTACCAAGTCCTGCTGTGCTATACCTGCTTAATATTTCTTGGCCTCTCTAAGGGTTGCCTATATGGGAAAAATGCCACACTAAAAGTTGCATCTTTGTGCAACTTAACTTAGTCCATATTGGACAGTTAGCATGGAATAGCTACTGTGCTTTAAAATTTGCATTCTAGCTTGTAGACAGGTCTACAATGCTGAACATGGGTAGTTCCTTAGAATCACTTTGCCAGTCAGAAAACAACAGTGGAACACAGGAGGGCAAAACCAAAAAGTTAAGCCCATTCTGGAGTTGGCAAAGCTTAAAGGGAAAAAGAAAAATATCGGAGAAATTCCTTAAGCCCAGAAGTGTGAAAGGTGTTTGGAAATATCACACAAGCAAATCCACATTCAGATCAAGTTTGCTTTCAAACCCCCTCATACTAAATGCTAGAAGACATAAGTCACATGCTCTGAGTACAGTTGTATCGTTTCATGCTAGTCATTCCACTGGCTCATCAAGTTTCAGTGTGAAGCCGTCTTTTGCTTGGTGAATTCTGCTATCAGAAAGAACATGTACAATCTCAGAGAGGCTTTTGAGTGGAGATGCATTCAAAGACTTGCCAGCAGAACACTGCAGTGTAGACTAGGTCTGAGGCAAAGCATTTGTTTAGTACTGCAGCCAGATCTAGATTATCTGTGATCTCCATCCCTGCTTCAGTGCATAATGCCTCCCCTCTTCTTGTTCTCTTGCTTAGATAGATCACTGAAGAATCTTTTATACTTCACTACAATTTTCTCCACAAGGCCCA